CCCCAAAACCCCAAAACCCCAAAACCCCTTGAATAAGTTATAACAGTAAAAATAAAGACTAATAATTGCAAATTAATTTATAATTAAGCTAAAACAGTAATGAAAAGAAGACATGATGACAATCTCAAAGTGATTGATATTTTCCTTCAAAAGAATATTAAGATTAACATGCTTCAATCAATATATACTGGATAATCATAATACAAGACACTCAAGATACTCTACTGGCTTGATATCAATAAGAAAACAGGGCAAGTTGAGAAGAATAAGTTGATTGAAGAGGTGCATACAGAGAAAGATTTATAAAGACATTTGCTGAAAGAGGGAACGGAAATGCAGAATAAGTATTTTTACAATGCAAGAGAAATAGTTGCCTTTGCTTATATATATGGTTCCCTGTAAGTAATAACAATGGAGAAGTTGCTAGAGCTTGGAAAGGCAGAACTGAGGTTTCTGAATAGTATTCATTTTTTGAGTCCTCAAGGCCACATACCACTTCGTGACAGCTGTTTTTACACTTTTGCATACTCAGATATTAGTGGAGAGTTAAGTTATTGTCTGGTCAAGAGATAATTAATTCTAGACAACTATCAATATGAACTTGGTGGAAGTGGCAGCAAATCTGATTCTTACTATATCAAAGGTTAGTATAAAGGAATATAGCTATCTTTCATTAATTTGAGATTACTCACACAATCTTATGCTTTTTTAAATCTAAAATTCTTTTCTATATAGATGCAGCTGTCACAGATAATAATCTGCTCTACAAGATACAAAACTTCGCATAGAATGTTATCAAGATGGTATTAATTTGCAAGAATCTTAAGATTGAAAAGATGAATCTCGATTTCTTTTTGGATAAATAAAGCAAAATTTGGCTTATATCATTAGATAAATGCCTTGTGAGTGAATAAGTCATTAAAGATACCACCTACTACACTCAATTTATCTTTTAACAGAGGTTTATTGATCGATAGTAGGAGCTGCAAAACTTTCTCAAAGTTCTAAATAAGCAAGAAAAAATAAAGAGGAATAAGAAACTGCTAGAAGCAAAATAAAGGTAGTTACTTCCTCTTCAAAGAAAAGAGTCCATAATTTCATTGAATAAAAAATCAGTTGGAAGTTCCCCTTCTAGGAGGCAAATGCTAGATACTCCTGAGAAATCAGTCAATGTGAAAAATAGGGCTAAAAAAGAAGATGAAATGCAGTATATTGAACCATTTTCATTTGATGAATTGCATTCAAAACTAATGGCTTAAACTGAAAGGAGAAATAATTAACCACCAAAATTTAAAACTAATGAGCCACCAATTAGTTATATGAATATAATGAAAGATATTAAAAATCAAACCACATCGGGTCATTGTGAAGTACAAGATTTTAAGATGGTTGAGGTGAGAAAATTGCCGAGAGATTCAGTTTTAAGTGAGAACTATCCAACAAATACATCAGCTACTCAGAGAAAAAATAAAGTGATTAGGATTTCAGAAAGTTCTTTAACTTCTACAATAGGCTAAAAGAGATTTTCCATTACATCTTTGAAGACAAGAAAGGCTTCATAAAAGTAGAAAAAGAGCTCAGAATTGCTATTAGCTTCTCTAAAATTTGACTTTAAATCCTAGTCCAGTATCTAATCTGATAGATCTAGCTAGCCAGCTTCTGCAAGAACAGCATCTAGAAGTAACAAGTTATTCAGGATCACATCATAAACAAGGCTGAATAAAATTGAAAATTAAAGGTACGAGCATTTCGGCTAATCATCATTTAAGAGAAATAGTGTGGATAATAATCTAAAGGATTTTGAGTCAGCTTCAACAATAGATAATATTTAGAATAACTACTATATGAATATCAATAGCAGAGGTCCAAGTAGACTAGAGTCCCCTCTTAAATAAATAGACCAGGAAAGTAATGAGACATTTGAGAAAACTAAACTAATGCTTGATAGCAGGTCTGAAGACAATATTCCTAGAACTGAGTCGAAGTAAAATACTCATAATTTGAATGAGGAAAACTTTAAAGGAGGAGTTAATATACTAGATTCATAAACTAATTTGAGCTAGACACTAAATAAAAGTTAAATTCCCTAGTTGTAACTTACAGAGTAGCAGATAACAATGATTAATCAAACATCTCTTAGACTAAATGAAAGAAATGTTCAGCAAATTACCTCTATTCACTTTGACTAAAAAGACTCACTTAATGCTACAGATATGAGTGAGCCTAGATAAATTGACTTCAGAATTGGAGAAAGTAGAAATTAAAAAATATTAGTTGAAGATGATGATTACAAATGAATTAACTATAGGATACGTAGAGAATGATTATCAAGATTGGCTTGATATATAAAATTATGATGAAGTTAACTTAGCTTAACTAACTTAAATTCATTAACATTTGATTGATTATCTTCTTTAAGAATTTGATTTCATCATTCCAAAATCACTAATTCTTTAGGCATCTTAACTCTATTGTTGTAGATTGATGAAACAAGCTGAGCCCACTCAGTAGCTTCGAAAGGTACATTCTAGACCTTAACTCCATTAACAAAGGCACTGGGTGTCCCCTCAACTGTTCTGGAAGCTGCATATTTCCAATATTGTCTTGTTCTCATTTCAGAGTTGTGAACATCCTTTTTGCTGTCATACACTTGTAGAAGCTCAGTTTAGTTAAGACCAAACTATTTGGCGACTGTTGCAGTCCAGGATTAAATTATTTGATTCTCTGTGCTGGCTGTATTATCCAATAATGTATTCTAGTTAATCAATGTGTAAGCAATGTAATCTAGATATTTGCAAGGCTGAGTTCCGTTCAAGCACTTGTCAACTAAGATTGGTAGAAGTTTAGTCACTATCCATGAGCCATGATGATATGGCAAGGGGAAGAAGTTATATTTTACACTTATTGCATCTCTGTATGTTCCATCTAAAAATTACATATCCAAAAACTATTGGAATTTAGGGTGATGCATTTGGCAGCCTTCACAAAGTAAGTCATAAAAAACCTCAATATCAATCCCTTATTTAAAGGAACCCTCTCCAACTCCTGATCCAGGATATCTATCTGGAATAGGTGGGTTATTATCCCAAGCATTAGTAGTTGCAACTAAAGCAATGATGACGATTGAGATAAATCTCATAATAATAATTTAATTAAGAGAAATTAAGATTATATTCTAAAGTTAATCATCATTTTGCCAATAAATTATTTATTTAGATTTGAAGTTATGATCCAGATCTCTGTCATATCTCAAATAATAATGATTCCATCTCTTTGATGAGAGATAACAGTAGAGAGATTTCTTCTAGTTTTCTTAAGAATTTAATTTACTGTCTTCCCTCTTTGAATGAGAGAGTAATTCAGTCCTTGATTCGAGGCTAATCTCTATTTTTCATGTCTTTTTGTAAAGAATTGTTAGGTAGTTCCTCCTTATGCTTACTACCTAGATTGATAAGTCATTGTTTTCTAAGCCAGTTCATGGAAAAAGTTAGATTCTATAGTCTCATCCTGCTTAGTTAGCAGGCTTTGAGCATTTCCTTGACTAGGAATAATAAATGGGTAAGCTTGCATTTCAAGAATATTTTTATCAACATTATTTAAAATTCTTTCCTTTCTAAAGATCTTCTTTTCAATAGCAGCAAATTAAATCTGATTGCTTTAACTTCCAAATCCATTAGTCTTCCTCATTATTTTACTCATTTTCAATGACTCATTTTTTGATGCTCCATTTATTGTAGATACCTAACTCTCGCCTAGTCCACTCAAATTTAGCTTTTCAATCAATAGATTTCTTTCTCTAGAGTTTCCTGTGGATTCCATGAAAGTCTATCTAATTTGCATATTACTTTAAGCGATTTGTGGTTACTCCAAAATTTTAATATAATCTTTTTTCTCTAAGACCTTTTTAAGTTAATCATGGTCTTAAGACTTGATCTGAATCTTTTTAGGACCCTTTAATACCTGATCTCTTGAGTGGATTGAATGCCTATTCAGGGCTTCAGTAAATTCCTTAGATATCTTATAAATCAATCCTTTTAAAGGACTTTTTGACAATATTGGAGAGTATTTCTTATCCTCCATTCTAGCAGCTATTGAACTGTTTTAATAATTTAAATCATAGCTTTACTAGTCATCTTGATCATTTGAAGGTCCTCTTAATGTCTGTACATCCATTGAATCATCCTTGTTTGAATACTGCTGTCCTATCCTCTATATTTGTCTTTTTCTTTGGCTTTTCAATTCTATAATGGTTTTCACATTTTAATCTATTTTAGGTGCACTCCTCAGTCTTTAATTGAGCTCTTATTCTTGGTTATTAATCTGCAATTTTTCATAGAGTGTCTACTATCCAAAAGCATTAGTGTTAACAGGAGCTTTGTAATTTGAAGAAGTAATATGAACTGTAGGTACTAGACTTTTAGGATGATTTGTAACCTGACTTTAATTTCTAGGCTTTTTAGTTATTAAATGCTCAGTCATTGGGGTAGAATTTTATAACACAGCATTCTGCTTTTAGTTTTCCAATCTGATAGAAGTGTTATTATTTGATGGATTTAGCATCAATTAGCTTTACACTGCTTAGCTAGATTCATTATCATAGGGATTATAACTTCTTAATGTCTCATTATTCATTCTTAGAGAGTCCTGCTGTTTTATGTCTGAAAATTGTAGCTTTTGGCTCAACTGATAATCTTAATAAATTACAGATTCATCAGCATTTCTATCGTCTTTTGTTTTAACCAAACTCCTCTCAAAGAATGATGAACCTACTTTCAGAGCTTAATCTTGCATTTCTTTGGGGAATCTTGGCTCCATCTTAAAAGAATTAAAGTTAGACTATGTATTGAATAGTGTATTCATAGGATAGATTTGATCTCCTGATATCCTTAATCTTTCTTATTTAAGTTCTTTAACCACATCCTCATCAAAGGAGTTTCCGGTATTAGAGACTACCATAATTTTATTTCTTCCTAGAATATTCTTGATGATAATTCTACTACTATCTGCATTTTAAGCTTTAATTTGGTTAATGAGATTGCTTTATCTAATAGGTGATCCATAGCTGAATTTTTCATTGAAAATAGAGTCTTATGTCCTTTGAAAATTATTATATGTTCGATTCAAATCAACATGATTATGCTCAATTCCAAATGAGTTTGAATTATTTCCATAGTTATCTTAGATATTTCCACCACCCTTCTAAATAATATTGTGGTTTATTGATATATGATTTCTCCCAATCTATAAGTTGCTGATCTGTGATGAAATTTGATCTTCATTCATTAAATTTTCTAACTCATCAGTCCCAACACAAGTATTCTTTAGGTTTCTCTGAGAAAGCTAATTTTCACTTTCATCTTAATTGATTTGCTTTTTTACAGAATAAACTAGCTCTCTTTATTCTCCCGTATTACTGATTTGTCTATAGACTTATGTCTATTTTCTTGGAGTTATTTCATAGTAAGCATTTTCTCCAATTATCTTTCCAGATGAAATATGATACTGGTTAGAAGTGTTGCCAGTTTTACCATCAAGTTTCAGTGTCTTAGCATCAATTTGCTCAAGACCACTAATTGGCATTTTATTTAACTTAATCTCGCTCATTATTTACTTTGTCTTCTTAGTTCTGTTTGTTCTTTAAACTATATGCTAGCTGGCAGTCAGCCTTAAATTTTCAGATTCTCTAAATGATTTAGATGATTGCTTCGGTAAAGATGATTGATTTTAATCATAATTACCAATTTATCCGAGATTTGATGGATTGTGCTGATATACAGCTCCCCATTCAGGAGGGGTATTGTTGACGCTCATTTACATTTGAGCTCTTGATATATTAGCGGCAAGTGCTATTGGTAGTAGATGATTATTTAAGGTTGTTAGCTAATTTGAAGTAAGAGATAGGATGTTATCATTTGATAGTTTATTTGTATTTGCAAATTATTTTAATTTTATGGTACTTGATTTCTCAAGATTTTTGCTTTATTTTTACTCAACTCTGACCTGCAAAATATCTGTATTCAACTTCCCTAAGTTTGCCATAGAAATATCGTTGCTTGGCTGTTAAGAATTCTCATTGATCAGTGCATTTTTATTAAGCGTTTGATTGTTAAATGTACCTTTTGGTATGTTGTTAATTACCTCAAGTGGCTTTACATCTAATAAACTAGTTAAGTTCACATCATTGTTGTAACTCTTCCTTCTTTGCAATCCTATATATATTTAAAAAATATTTATATTACTTAAATTTTAAACTTAGCTCTTTACTGCAGTCGCATTAACTCTATTATATATTTGCTTCTGTAAGGGATCACTACTCTAATGTTGGAGTTTAAGTAGGTTATCAGAATGGTCAACGTTTTACTTGAGGTTGTTGAGTTCTCTTTGAAGCTCTGAAGCATCTGATTTAGATCTAAATGTAAGGATCTGCTGCTAAATTTCATGCAGACCTTATATGAATTTTCCCATTTCTGTTTTAGGGTTATTATGAGATTGTTGATTAGGATGCTATTTCTCCATAATGATAGGTATATTATTGTGAGTTATTTTATGAGAATCTTGAATTATAACTAATCCTCTGGGTCTTAAAAGAAAGGAATTATGATCCTAAGCTGAGTGAGGTGACTGTAGTTCTGAGTTAATCTAATTGACTCCTGAATTATCTGAAAGATTTTTCCTGATATTTTGTGTCTCGAGAATCGCCACATCTGTCATATTTAGCTCTATATGCTTCTCTATTCTTTTTCCTTTGTCATTTGAATTACCCAATGAATTAATTTTTCTTTCTTAGCTATTATTCACAAATGCCTCAAGATCTTTGCCCCTTGAATCTTTTGCTTTTTTATGTTTAGTCTATAGCGTAATGGGATTTATTTATCTTTCTACTTTTTATATAATAATACTTTCTTGTAGATTTATAGTTGGAGAGTCTTAGTTATGATCCTTCTCCATACTCATATATTCAGTTTGTTCTTTTGAGTTAGTTTAAAGTTTCAATGTCTAAACATTTCTTGAATTATAAGGTTGCTCTGTTTGATTGATCAACTATTTATTTTGGAATTCCTTTTTAGTTTAATATAACGAGTGCTACTTCTTGTATTTCTAAATGTTTCTTTTGACCTAATGACTGCTTGATAAGTATCAAAGCCGACTGCTAAGCTAGCTTTCTCCTCTAGAATAATTAAATGATTATTTATCAGCTGTTTATTTTCTGGGCTAATCCTAATAATCTATGCTATTTGTCAAAAGGTTATAACCTTGAGTGTAATCAAGTTGCTCATTTTAATAAGAAATCTATGTTTGAAGCATACTCATCTCTTTCATTTGCTTTTAAAATGTTTTATTTAGGTGCTCATTTGCAAATTATGTTCCCTTTATATCTTACTTGGTGTTGTATTGAAGTTACAATGGCTGAATTTAAGAATTAGCCACAAGAGCTCTCACTTCCATTAAGTTATTAATATACTTTAAATTAGATATATAACTGATATAATTAAAATATTTTTATTAAATTCAGTAAATAATATCCTTAAACTTGTAAACTATCTTGTGGACGCTCTCCTTATTCTGTATATCTCTGTGAGATTCTTAAGATGAGGATACATCATTTAGCTTGAGAACTTCGATCAAGGGAGCAGCTCTTCTTTTCAGATCAACTAAGCTTTTAGGTCTTTCAAGATTCTTAAAATACTTGTCATACTTACTTGATACAGGAGAAGCATGCTTAATAGATGGAGCAAACACTTTATCGTTATTGATAGACCCTTGTCTGGTATGTCCCTGACTATAATTAACTTGATTTGCCAAAGGTTTAACCTTATCTCTAGATTATTTTAATGGCTGTGTTGTATTGGCGTTGATTCCATATTGCTTTACTGGACTCTTAACCAAATCTCCTGACTTTGAGTTATAGATTGATTTGATTGGGCTTTTGCTTGAATATGTATCCTAAAGTTTCTGCTGGTATGACTTTTAATTAGAATTAGCTTGATTTTAAGTAGGTTTCTTGTTTGATGAAGTATTGTTAATTGTGGTGTTTGTTGTGTTGTTATGAGTTTTATCAATAGTTTTTCTGTCAATAACATGCTTCGCCTAAACAAGTTTAGTCTTTGAGCTAATACTTGGATCAGCCTTCTGTTTTTGAGTTGAGGAGATATTCGACAGAGTAACTTGAGCACGAACGCTTGAAATTTACTTTGAATCTGATTTATACTAGATAATTGTGTTTTTGCACTGAGATTGTTTCTAAGCCAAAGGTTTTGTAGAACTAATTACAGTCTGATCTTATTTCTTATCAACAATTGAGATTTGATTTTTACTTTAAATTAGTTTAGTGGTGGATTAAGCCTGAGCGATTGGTTTCATATTATTTGTGCTTATTGGACTAACATTAGCAGTCAATGAGGTAGATTCATTATCGTTAGTGAACCTGGAGCCATATTTACCTAAAGCAGACTTAGTTGGAGTGTGTAATCTACTTCCTACATTTTTATAACTTTTACTTGCTGCAGCACTGGGAGTCTTGACATTTTTATTGACTATTTAATCAATTAAGCTTCTACTTCCACTGTTTTTAGTTGTATTTGTGTGAGAGTCACTTGGTGCCACATCGAAAATCTGGTAGGAATTAGTTATGATCTAGGCATTATTATCTGGCTAGAATCTTGGAGATGAATATGCTTCTGAGGGCGTTTGTTTTACATATTCCATAGTTTGGGGAGCAGTTTCAAGAGTCTTTGTTGGACTTTATGACTATTCTTAATGCTACTTGAAATTTAAAACCCCTAGACCTGAGTGACTAGAAACTTGGGTTCCTAAATAAATAGTAAATAAAATTGCCAAAAAATTTACTCTTTTTAGTTTTGAAGATATCAATTCTTTGCTATTATTACTTCTTCATCTACTCTTTAAATTCCTGATTTCGTTTTTCAGTAACAGTTTAAATCTTTCCGAACAAAATGTGCTGTATTCTCAATGCATACTATATAAACAGAGTTGAGATTCTAACTATGATGCTTACATGATTGAGGATATATGTATTTAATCTGTACTTTTTGAATTATTTCTATTTGCTTAGTACATAACTTTCATAACCATCGAAATCTAATTTGACTGCCTACCATCTACCTAAAGCATTCATTGCCTATAAGTGAAATCAATCAGGAATGGACTAAGCATTTATTGCTTACTTTATTAGGTAGAGTAAAATCCTCATCTAAATTAGTCATTTGTAATAAAATTTAATTATCTTCTCTAAAATCTAAATTATGCATGGTGGGGTTTTGGGGTTTTGGGGTTTTGGGG